GCGACCGCTCAGCTGGCCATTGACTTGGGCCAACTGCAACTGCGGTGCATCGCGTCCCGATGCATGTTTGTCCCTGGACGAGGTCAATATACCCGAGTTACACCGCGTCGCGAACTTTATTGCTCTACTGTCTGCATTATGGACAGCGATAAATAAAAATTACCTTTATTGTGTGTACGATTTTTTAACCCGTTCGTTACTGCCGTTCAGTTGCAAATTTATGGGTCATTATTTTTATTTTTTATAATAATATAATTTCAAACCATGCACGTGGTTTTCTATTGTTATATATTATTTATCAGATTATATCAGCGCAAAATTGATCCCACTTTTTGAATTTTTTTTAAATTGTACCGCTAAGGATCTTTCTATATTTTATTAGTTTCTTTACTTTTTGCATTTTGGAGTTAACCTATTTGGCAAATTACCATTCTATAAATACAGCGACATTGTTGGTGTGTTTCTATTTCTAGTTAGCCGTGATTAGAGTTCAGAACGGATATATCTGTTTCTAATGTAAATGGGTTAATGATAACGTTGATTGCCGTGTGAATGACTGCAAGGTGAAAGAAGAAAGTGGAAACCACTTTTATTGACATACTTATCACTGATTTCCATTATACATACAAACGAAAGCTTATATTTTAATGTACATTTCACGAATTAATTCAATGTGATTAGTTTTCGTATAATTCGATCATTTAACACGATAATTAACAAATGAACGTTGACCTAAGATTGTTAATAATTATAAAAAAAATTTTGATAAGACTTTACGATGATATTAAGAGAAACAATTTCTGATACATTGCTCTTTTCGATATTAAAATTGTTAAATAGTTATCGTATATTATAAATGATTGCAAGTTATGTAATCATGAGAAATTGATTACCGAAGCGTTAACTGTGACAGATAACACGAAATAGTAATGTACGTAAGAATATTTATCTATTTTCGCAATGGACATAATGAATTATGGATTACTGCATTAATTAATATGTTGCACTTATTGTTACACGAAGAGGAGAATTCAATTACGCTACGAGACTTAATCTTCAAAATTACGGTATTTAACAACCTTTACAGTAAGAAATACAGTATTAAAAACTATAATTAGCGTGCTCGTGGTGGCTCGTTATCTTTACGTACGTTGATTGCGTCGAGAAGATACATCTATGCAGAGACTTCTACAGGTTTAAAGACGTTGCGCAATTTTTTTTTTTTTATTTATGTTTACAATGTTCTCTTTAGTTCTGTAGGTTGTAGATCTATTATTCTTCGCTTCATTATGCGACAGTCAGTGTTTAGTTTCCTTTGACTACAGGTAACAAGCTGGACCTGGTTAGCCTTGGACCATACTTTGTCGATGAACACTACTATGATCGTGTGATCTATCAGATAAAGATCTATTGAAAACACGTACAACTCTATTCATTTCAATATATTATTCAGTCTATGCTGCTTACATTTATTTTTTTCATACAGAGTGTCTTAAAAAGGTAGAAATAATCCAAAAGCTGCACTTCTTCACGTTAAAATAAATTAATCATTCTTTTACCATTTTGTTATTCGTGGCATTGTTTTTGAAACATGAACAACAAAAATAAGGTATAATAATATGTACGAAATTATTAGATCATTTCATGAATCATTAGACACATCATTCTTTGACATATTACTTGCCATATTGAAAATGGAAATGGTTAATTAGATACGTTGAAATTCTAATTATTAGGGATATTTATAATCATTAACTTTCAAATTTTAATATTGACAGAGAAAGAGTAGTAATAAAAAGATATAAAGAAATGAGATTTGATATGAGCAGTGCAATGAATATTCTTAAATAGATTTCACAAGCGAGGTGTATAGAAACACAGGAAACTATCTATTAGTTGTGTCAGTTCACGGTTGGTCGACGATTCGAGTTAGTTTTCACTATCGAAAGGTAATCGAGTTCTACAGGACAGCGATCTAAAAAAGTTCATCGAGACTGGTTTCAACATTCAACGCGTTCGTTTCGTTGCTGTTATTTGTTGAAAGAAAAACAGCAAACCGCTAGCTCTACCTTACACTCTAGTAAATCGTGATCTTACGTTGTACACGATAAAAAGATGATTGAAAATTTTCATAAATATCGTAACTATCTTTTTACATGCCACTCGATTCTTCTTTTTTAATTAATAGACTTATTAGACACACTTTGTTCTGCAAAGAACTTTAGGCATGTGTCTAAAAATATTAAATTATAACCATTAATTGTTATAGAAAATCGTGGTTGTGCTATTCATTAAATAATATAAATATTATAGCATTACTATTAATATTACTGTTAGTATTAGCACTAGTTTATAATATTTCTTCTATTCACGACCGATTTTCGTTACACTTTCGTCTCTTTTTGATTTTAACATTAAATTAAAATTTCTTTTAATTTGTAAAATTCTCTCTCGTTTTATTTGGAAGAATTTAACGAATAATTGTTCTTAACGACGCCGATCAGTAACACCTGAAACACCTTCGGAAGCTTATGTTGAAATTCACAATTTTACGAAACACTTTCTACTTGGACAAGAAAACAGTCTTCAAAAACATGATTATCAGCGAAGTGTACTGAATGAAAACAAAAACAAAATGTTTTTCCGAAATCGATTTCATTGGAGGTTGTCAGAGAACACTTGTAATTACATAAGATCATTTAAATAATTACGTAATGCGGTATTGTGATGTGGTAAATAATGATTTGTTTATATAAGGCGACAATATCAGTAGCGATGGAAATAACAATAAAAATTCTGCGTTTGCAATAAAATTGTACTTTTCAACGCGTGTTTTTTTTCTGTAAATACTTTTGTAGTTAATTCAGAATGGATTTCAAGGCTGCTATTTACGCGAAGCAGTTCTCTGACGCGCTTCCATTAACGTGCTAAAAAACAGATGCCTTTTGGTGAATTTAACTATCCTACAATTTAAGTTAAATAAGTTCTTTCATAAGTATGAAAACATATTTACACGCCGAATATAGATTTTAATTTAACCTGTAGATTTTAAAAAGATCGCATCCATTAACACGCTTTCTTGTGAATTTGTTAGATTGAACACGTTCTTTTGTACAGGAATTTATAAACATTTACGCAATATTAAATATTGATTTCGATTTAAATTTCGAGCCGAAAGAATTGACTTTGAAAGCCATTTATCGCTCATCGTCACTTGTTACTCGTATTTAGAATTCATCAGACAAGGCAATATTTTTGGTATTTGCAATATTTTTAGAAATGTAATGAGGAAAAATACTCTAGTAATTTATCATTAATTAATTAAAATTGAAAGCCATCGTTATAGCAGAGAAAATGAGAATCTTATTTCGTGGTATGTACTATAATTATAATAATAGTAGAATTTTAATGTTATTATAAAAATATTCTATGATAGATTTATAGTAGAAATAGTAAAAAAGATTTCTACTGCAAATCTAATGTACAATATTAATAGCATATTAAAATCCTGTTCTCATTATAATTGCAGCGTTACGTGTTAAACAACTTTAATTTAAGCATGTTATACTTTTGTTTTCGTCATAATATTAAAGTTCTTTCACTCGTAATGCTGCAATTATAATAATAATAGATCCTAACATGCTATTAAAATTCTGCTAAGAATATGTAATAGAAACAGTGTATGCTACATTTTTGTCCTCATCAGAGCATTAAAGTTTCTTAACATCATAATGCTGCAATTGGAATGATAACAGAATTGCAATATGTTATTAATAATTGCAATTATTATAATTACTAGAGGTGTGTAAGAACTCGAAAATTTAAGGTACCTGCAATGATAGAATAACTCATAGAATAATTTCGGGTAATATTAATTTTATATTATACCCAAAATTATTCTGAGTTATTCTATCATTTCAGGTATCCGAAATTTTCGAGTTCTTATACACCTCTAGTAATTATAATAATATGTAATAGAATTCGAGTATGCTATTAATATCCCATAGTAAATTTACATTAAAAAATAGTATATATTTTAATCTTTGGAATAAGAATACTTAAAAAAAATTAACTAAATTGGACAAAAATAAAATTGATTGAGAATTCCGATCTGAGAGTAAAGTTTCGAGTTTAAGAAAAAAGTCAAAGAGTTGCAACTGTTTCACCTGCAGCGATTCATTTATTCAAGACGAGATAATACGACTACGGCGTAATAGTACTCTGTGATTATTCATGAAAGGATTCACGTGAATGTAATTTTTCAGATACATAATTATCGAACTTACGTAAAAGGTAGTTATAATTATAAAACGAATATTTCTTTCAACTAAAACGTATCTTATTACGTAATTCTGGTGGATTTTGAAGTTTTCATTTCTTTAATTATCATCGATCCTCTTGAAATGATTTCACAAACGCGTATTCAAATAAAGGAATCTATTTAAAAGGAAAAGGCTTCACACTTTTTCTTCCCTCTGTCAACAGTATTCAATTAAAAATATAATATTGTTCGTGGAATCTCATTAACTTTAGTCTTCATTTTGCAAGATCATTTTGTGGTCAGGTTGAAATGGAACTCAAGGATCTTGGTGGCATTTACATGAAACGACTTTGACGTTCTTCCATTAACAATCGGCTTTTATTACTTGTTGCTGTTTCGCCAAAGGAAATAACAAGAATATCGATATTTGTGAGTTATAAAGATGTACAGATTCTTTCCAAGGGCAGAAACATAAGGAAAAACCAATTTTGTCTAGGATTACGTAGAAACGAGAATTCTATTACGCAATCCAAATGTTAAAAAATGAAGATTTAAATTTAATCTTATATTACTTTTAAGTCCCATTATTTTATATTAGAACTTATTTTTCCAATATATGAGTTTATATATTTATGAAATGTGAAATAATTTAAAGAACTTCTTTCCTCCACAAAAGTATGCATCGATTAGAAAACCTGTTTGAACGGATGCTAATTAATTGTTTGACGCGTTTTTACAGAAATCCGACATGGTGGAAGAGGAGATCGGCGTTGGAACGCGGTTTAACCGTGATTGCAGTTTCCGGGGTGCTTGTGTGCATCGCCTTAGCCGTTGCACTCGGCGTCCTGGCTGCGAATACCGCATCCTGCAGCTCGGCAGCGAGAAACGGTAAGAAAACGAGGAAAATATGAAAATACAATGAATAGTATTGTTCGCGTTTATCTTTACAGTTCAGGAATATTTTAAACATCAAGAAACAGAATAAAAATTTCTCATTCAAGTTACCGTACTATGAAGACACTTTAATGATTAATTACTATAATTATCCCTTAATTTTTTATAAGTAAATTACAGCAAATGCTTTAATACCCTTCACCCAAGCAATCATAGTATCAAGAAATTTATTGGGTAAAATTACATCCGCCTTTAAGGGATTGATCGAGACACATTAGATGATTTGAATTAAGAGAACAATAATATTCGAAAGATGAATAATGTTCAAGATATTGTTTTCTAAGACGCTACGATGCATATGCTTTTTACTGATCTGTGCTATTTTTTTTTTTTTTTAACTGCTTAACAAACAACGCCTAGAGTATAGAAAATTATTTTCTAATTACTCAAATTTAGTATTATTAGAATAATTTTTTGCAATATTTATAGTCATTGGCGTAACTAGGTAGGGGGCAAGATGGAGCTTAACCCTTTTAAGGTTTTAAAATTCTAAAATCCTAAAGTTCTAAGATTCTAACATTCTAAAACTTCGAAATTTCAAAATTCTAAGGTTTCAAAGTTCTAAAATTACAAAATTTCTAAGAGAACTGACCCTCCCAAGAAATAATACTAGTAACACCAATGTTTATAGTAATTTTTTAAAATATAAGCCTTCTAAGTTCAGAATCATTAGTATCCAATGGTATATGCCTATAATGGATCATTATCAAAACGTTGGATCCATTTGATTGCAGCACATCACCCGTATCGCCCTATGATTAATTCATTACTCTTATAATGCACTTATCGCTATTGTTCGCACGCTTCAAAGTTATGCAATTGGCGCACACGTTCCATTAAAATTTTCTTGTCATTAAACTGTCATCTAACATTATTTAATATCATCTCGACGAAATATCAATGATCTTCGTTATCTCACAATTCGCACATTGATATATGTATCAGTTTCCTTTAAAATGACTTAATTACCACTTCATCGTGGCAATTGTAAAGCGTTCTTCATATTATCTGTTGATCTTCAAAGCACAAACAAACGAGCGTAAAAATAGGTTTCTCAGCGATAAATCACAAACTGTTTCCACAGATCTTTCGCGTACGTCATCGAGAAACGATTATTTTCAGTTTTGCGATTAAAACATCTTATATTCCATCTTGTTTTTCTTTCCAACTTTTAACAAACAACTTTAAATTCTTTAAATTCTGTCGCAAGGGAATGGTCCGATAACGGTTCTTTAAAACATGTCATAACAAAGGAACATTGAAGAAGAATTTCAAGTACTCGAAAGCTGACCAAACCGGCTTTCCATCGTATTGTAAATTTTCATTGATAACCAGTGTCACGTACGACTTATTTGTTTATGTTGATTTATACTCGGGAATCGACCAGCTGTTTATGCGTTGCTTTCGCGAAAAAAACGTGGAGGGGTACACGTTGAACCGCATCAAGAAACGGATGGAAGCACTTAACTTCATCTTCTTTAACTTTTTTGTTGATCGAGAATGATTATGAAAATCGTCGTACGTAATTTGAAATCTTGATCGTCCGTGTTTATTCGTATTTGTAAAAGAAAAATAAGATCATCAAGATATATTTCGAGATCAAAATGAATATAATAGAAAATTACTCCAATCTCTTTTTCTTTAATTTTTTAAGTAGACGGTTCATTTGATATACAGGGTGTCCCATTTAAACTGATACAGAGCTCTTATTCTGTAACTATAAATGGTACAAAAAATTGTTGATATAGAAATTGCATGGAAAAAGGGGGCGTATGTTTTGGCCGAAGTGAAAAATCTTTTGCATTATTAGTTTAAGAGATATGATGGTCAAATTTTGTTTTTTAAATGGCACCATATATTTTTTTTCGGATCATGTAATAGTGCTTCTCAAGACGAATTCATTAAGCTTTAATCTGTACACTCGATTTTAATTAGTTTTCAAGATATAGAAATATCTCGTTTACAAATTTCCCGATTTTCAGTAGATACGTCTCGGTTTGAGTGGCAAGTCGTCAAAGCGGCCCTATTGTTGCGGTAAGTGCCGCAACGATTATTCTTTGGGTCCGCCGCACAGTGGGACAAAACTGCTTTTGGCGATCAAAATTCCGTAACTTCGGTTCTATTGGAAATATTTAAATGACATTTTGGGAAGTTTTTGCCTACATTATGATACTTAAGTTGTATTAATATAAATCATATTGAACTACAGGGTGTCAAGATATTCACGTATAAACTGTAGCGCGTTCAATATCCTTCACTTATTAGACATATTTTATGTCATTTAACAAAAAATTGACTCAAAACTGTTAATAACTATAAGAGAAACGGATTTAATAATTAAAAAATGACAAGACATGTGTTATTATAATATATTTATTTATATTTATTATGATCGATACCAAATCATTCGTGAAAACAGTTTCGACAATTATGAAAATTTATTATGGCATATTGCAAGGACGAAATAAAGTTTTGGATGACGAATATACACGTGGAATGCAGTTAACTGGTTAATAATCGTATCTGGTACTGTTTTTCTATCATCGTGCGCAGCGGCCAAGATGGATGTAATTTCATTCAATCGCCATTTTCTTGAAAAAGTGCAAAAAAGTGCAACCGATTTTTTCAGATTCTGATAGAGGAAGGTTCACTCTTTCCTGTAGTAATAATTAAACATGTGGCAAATTGTGGCATTTTTTAAAAATCAAGCTCAAAGTTGAGATTTTATTTAAATGTACTTCGTTTCAATCAGATCCTATTATTTAAAAAGTTGTTAACATTTTAACTTACTTTATGCACTGAATAGAATCTATATTATCCTAGTAAACTTTATCATTCATTTGAATTGTATCTTTCTGAATAAAATTCATTAGAATCGTACATTGAAGTTACGGGTAATATAATCAGCGTTTCGTTTTGACGAATTTCTACTGACTTTGAGTGCGAACCACGGCAAAACGGAAGCAAATATGAAAAAACGGATTACACTACGTTAAACTACAGTTTATTCTCTATTGATGTATGTAATTAGTTTTTCAATTTTCGAATTCACGAAAATCGACTTTTGATCGCCGAAAGCCGTTTTGTCCCACTGTGCGCCGTTCCTAGCGTAGACCTCCACTGTGGCACTTACCGCAACAATAGGGCCGCTTTGACGACTTGCCACTCAAACCGAGACGCATCTACTGAAAATCGGGAAATTTGTAAACGAGATATTTCTATATCTTGAAAACTAATTAAAATCGAGTGTACAGATTAAAGCTTAATGAATTCGTCTTGAGAATCACTATTACATGATCTGAAAAAAAATATATGGTTCCATTTAAAAAACAAAACTTGACCATCATATCTCTTAAGCTAATAATGCAAAAGATTTTTCACTTCGGCCAAAACATACGCCCCCTTTTTCCATGCAATTTTCATATCAACAATTTTTTGTATCATTAATAGTTACGGAATAAGAGCTGTGTAACAGTTTAGCTGAGACACCCTATATATCTCGACAAAGTACCATTTTCATGACTTTGTACGGTTCTTCTGCTTCTGACCGTACACGTTTGCAGAAACCGAAACGCGTAATTTGACGTCAAATATCATGACGTCAATAAGAGTTGCTGCTTCTGACGCACCGGGGTAAATGATTATTGTTTTGAGAATTACTCACCGGGCCAGGTCATGTTTCCCGCGATCGTACCCTCTGAAAAATACAGGGCGAGTTCGGCTCTGTGTATTTTTCGAGTGAGTATCGATCGACCTCCTACAGGGTTTATACCACGTACGGCCACTGAATCATCAGAATATTTTTACGAATCATTGAAAAATAATCATACTTGGGGAAGTAATCGGTGGTCGGTGGCGCCAACCAGATGTTTTTTTGTTTTTTTTGTTTTTTTTAACGAATGAGAAGTAATTTGTTTGCTTCAGGATCATCGTGTACGAGTCAGAATTTTTAAATAAAGAATATCGCTTACGATGCTTGGAAGAATTGAAAAAAGTTGATTATGGAGATTCGTTCAAACTGTGAACCGATTCGCGACGGGAACAACGTACAAACGTGTTTGACGCCAGCAGTTGGACGGTTTAACGATTAAATTAGTTTACACTTCCGTTTACTATGCCTCGTGCCCGACTCGTTCAACGGTATCGACTTGAATTTTCATACATTCTTTATCGACAAGAGGGGCAGATTAAAAATTATTTCTTATTAATACGAGGCCCACATCTGCGTTAACGTGCAAATGCGTCAATTAATGCGAGAAAAAATTACACGGTAAATTTCACATTTTTTAGTAGCTGCATTTATGCATTAATTAGAACAATGCGAGATTTCACAGTATGCGTGAAATCTCTAACCTCATTAACAATGCTGTTATAAGATTAGCGCGTTGATCCGTGATTACGGTTGAGTTTAATGTTACATTAAGTGTTAACTATCGAATTTAATAGCCATTGTTCTAAAGTACATGACTCAGTCGTAGTTGAACAATACTGATTTCAGTAATGATTTACATCTTTTGAAATATTTTACATTAACTCCGAAAGAGTAGCTCGTTAACAATTAGTGATAACAAATGATATAATTGGTCAGATAACAAGCACTTTGCTGTAATCTTTAATCCTCCATTAGTATTTTTTAAATTCTTGTTGCAGGAGTTCTATTTATACAGGGTATTCGACAACAGCTGGGAGATTTTTTAAGGGGTGATTTTAGGGACCAAAATAAGACGAAAATTAAGAATGACGAAATAGCGTTTGCGGCTTTGTTCTCCAGTAATTAACGTTTAAAAATTCGAGTAAACAGCGCCTGAAACCTGCAATCTCCCCAGCAACGGCGACTGAACGTCAGATCAGCAGGGGTGGGTACAGTTATAACCAAGAATCATTGAATAGTAGAAACTGACCTCGTGCTATTCTGTTTCTCGGTACTGCAGCATTCGGCTTTCTCTTCTTGGTTATGACTGTAACCACCCCTGCTAACCTGACGTTCAGTCGGCATTGCTGGGGAGATTGCAGGTTTCAGGCGCTTTTTACTCGAATTTTTAAACGTTAATTACTGGAAAACAAAGCCGCAAACGCTATTTCGTCATTCTTGATTTTCGTCTTATTTTGATCCCTAGAATCACCCCTTAAAAATCTCCCACCTGTTGTCGAACACCCTGTATATTAAATTGTTACAGAGAGGGGGGTTGAATATTAGAAAAGAGATTATTCGAATAAGGAAGGTGTTACTGTATCACTGAAGACTGTTACTTAGAGATTCATAAAGACCATGCTTATTACCGCAGCTTGAAAACGATTCATTACTAACAATAATTAACCGTGTCGTCTTGCATTGTTTTGTTGCAATTGCACCTGCATCCGCTGCTATGCGAGAGTAGAACCCGTTAACACAGAGGGATTACCATCCACAGCCGATGCCCTAAATGGATACCAGAGTTCAAAAGACATTCAGATAGTGGACCGAGGGCCACCCTGCGATGAAAACGTGTGTTACACACCGGAATGCATTCACACCGGTTGGTAGAAAGTTCCAATGCTATCAATTCTAACGATAAAATCATCGATCCTATATTTAATTTGACGTGAAACTCTAGCCTCTAGGATATTGAAGAACATGGACCCAGAGGTAGAACCGTGCGATGATTTCTACGATTTCGCTTGCGGCGGTTTCCTTAAGTCTACCAACATTCCTGATGACAAAACGAGCGTGAATACGTTTACGGAAATCAGTGACGAATTGCAAAATCAATTACGGACCAGCATCGAGGAGAAGAGTCCACCTAACGAGCCGAAATCGTTCAGACTTGCGAAGAATCTATACAAAGCTTGTATGAATAAAAGTAAGTATACTAGATGAATATTTATTTATTGTAATATGAATGCTGTTTACAGAAAAATTGAGAAAAAAAGATGAAAAGAATTTTTTAAAATTACTCGATAATGTCTTTATGATATAAAATTTGTTCTTATTGTTTACCTACGATAGAAGTTCCGGCTTATTTCTGGAATGATACCACACCCCTATTGTGTTTAAACTTCATATATATATATATATATGTGTTAAGTTAGGAATGACGTAAATATAAAGTGTCAACGTGCGGAAAGTTCAACGTGCCAAGATATAGAAAATCGCGAAAACCGATCTGTTTCACCTTTTTTGAGAAAAGTTTTGCAAAAAGATCTCTGGTATCTCTTGGGAATCGCGAAAAATGATAAGGGTTGGGCGAAAGATGGGCAGACGTTAGAGGGTGGAGCTTCGAGTTAAGGGAGCAAAGGTAGCTATCCAACACTAGGAAATCTACCTTTCCTCACCTTCGCATGGTGCCGGCCATTTCGCCGAGAAGGGGTAAAAAGAAACATAAGTTTAGGTTAGGTTGGGTTAGGTTAGTTTTTTTTCTGTTACGTAGACATAATATAATTGTTTTTTCAATTTAAACCATAAATTAGCTTAAGAAAGCTAGAAAACTCGATATACCACAACGTCGCACATTGGCACTTTCGCACATTAGGACTTCATATTCGCGAAAAATCTTTTCCCGAAAAAATCAGATAAAAGCTATAATATATCCAACGCGTCCAGGAAGATTCATTGGATCCTGACTAAACTTGGTATGGTGATAAACCTTGACCTCCACAGTAACCACCTTGAATATTATTCGGTGCACGCTTTTGGTTTCCGAGATATGAGGTTCGAAAGTTGGGTTTTGAACTTAGTCAAAATTCGATTTTTGCCATAGCGACTCTTCGGAGGAGATCACTGTGAACTTTTGAATCAAGAGAAGAGCGTTTTTTTCCTATCGGAAATGTAACTGGTTTGGTTGGTTATACCCTAAATACTCTTTACCTACATTTTGAATAAAATACAAGTGCCGTATCATTCCAACGCCTTACCGAAGTTCCTACTAGTTTGAGTACATAATAGCTTTAACATATAGTTTTCTCAAAAATATTTTGTTTTCTGTATAAAAAGAAACGTGGAATTATAAATGCCATTGATTTTACAAATTATGAAACATTTGTCATGAAACGAATTTTACACGACATGGAACGTATTAATCGTTACAGCGGTGATCGAGCAACAGGGTTTGGATCCACTGATAAAAATCTTAGAAAAACTCGGTGGATGGCCAGTGTTGGAAGGCGATGATTGGAACGAGACCGAATTCAGTTGGACAGATTCGGTGTACAGATTCCGGAAGATGGGTTACTCGGTCGACTATTTCATCGACTTCAGCATCGGCGTCGATCTGAAGAACAGCACGCAACGAATAATTGATGTAGGTACAAGGAAATAGCTGGTGTATCGTTCAATGAAATTTACGGGTGGTTGTAAAGTTTGTACTGCGAATGGGAAATATGTATAACCTCACATTAGCGGAACGAAGGAGCCGGTCGTATAGTTACGCGAACCGTTAATGCAAATGAAAATCTTCTTGCATCTTAAAGGATTTACCACTTGGTGAAATCATGCAATAATAATTGGCGAATAAACAGTTCGAGCCTCCCCGTGTAAAATGTGTTTCAATCAATATTTGTATAGTTTCTGAAAATGTTTGTTGATCATAATAGATATGTGTTTGCTTTTTCAAGCGATATTTCAAGACTCGTTTGCTCATTTAACCATACTAAATTATGCAAATTCGTGTATTGATAGAAAATAGATAAAGAAGTGGGAGTTGAAGAGAAAGTTTTTTTTTTTCAATTAGCTGATATTTTAATGAAAATGGATATTTGTTAATTTTACAAATACCAAGCTTTCAATTTGCTACCTTACGTTATTAATATAATATCAATACTATTTAAAATAATATTTATTTATTTTTTTACCGGTCACCGGTGTCCCCTCGCATTCAATATGTTAAATAACTATAATTTTTTATTTTACATAATGCAGATTTTAAAATTTGTCTAATTGAAGTTGAAATGAATATTTTTATAGCTGGACCAAGCATCCCTTGGGCTGTCTCGTGAATATTTGTCAAAGGGTTTCAATGATAAAATCGTGCAAGCTTATTATAGCTACATGGTTGACATCGCGACAATTCTTGGCGCTAATAAAACTACTGCAAAGTCGGAATTGAAGGAATCGTTGGAATTTGAAATTAAACTTGCCAATGTAAGTCAATTGCTCAGCTAAACATAAAAATTATAGTAATTATAGATTTATAGTAATCATGAATATATTATATTGAAATGAATATCTGTTCCATAGATTTCATTACCAAATGAGAAGCGTCGTAATGCTACCCTTCTTTACAACCCGATGACGGTACGAGAATTATCGTTGACATATTCCAGCGTACCATGGAAAGAATATTTCAACACCCTTTTAGCGCCGAATGTTGAAGTAACCGAGGATGAAGTCGTAATCGTCAGCGTTCCTAGTTACATAGCTAATTTAGAGAAACTATTAGACACTGTCCCGAAAAGGGTGCAAGCGAATTATGTAATGTGGAGAGCGGCTGCTTCGTCGGTGAGCTATCTTACCGATGAAATTCGAAAGAGGCAATTGCAATATTCGACGGCTTTGAGCGGAAAAACGGAAAGGGAACCCAGATGGAAGGAGTGCATCGATACGGTTTCCGGTAGCTTGGCCATAAGCGTTGGCGCGATGTACGTTAGAAAGTATTTCAAGGAAGATGCGAAGAAGAACGCTTTGGAAATGGTAGCTGATATTAGAGAAGAATTTACAGAAATACTGAAAAAGGTAAGAGATGCTTTTAAAAGCGGGTCTATGGGGTGGGATGATAGAAAATAGCAAATGGGAATGTAAGGATATAATGAAATGATTATTGACAATAATAAGTAGTTTAAAGTGAAACTTTAGAATTCGGAGTTGGTAAAATAATGGTTCAAAATGGAATTAGGCATAATAAGAAAATTTTAAGATTTCTAGGCCCGAAAGCTATGAAATTTTCGATGGCTCCCTTAGTTGAAAACTTGGTTGAAAAATTGAAATTTAGTTTAAATAAAATTAAGCCACCTTTAAACTTTCCCTTAACCCAACTCTGGTGCAGAGGACCTGAATAGCTATTACTATAATTTAAACTAAGTACACATTCGTTCAGGTAATTACCATTGACGTGTCACTAAACAATTATCCTTCTACAATCCCGATCTGCTCCCTTTACATAAATGCAATCTATTATTGAAAAATACTTGTAATCTGCAATTCTTAAGGTCGATTGGATGGACGATGACACAAGAAAGAGTGCCTTGAAGAAGGCAGCTTCTATGTCCAGTCACATCGCGTATCCAGATGAGTTACTAGACGACAAGAAATTGGAAGAATTCTATGAAAAACTTGAACTAACAACCGATAACTATCTTGAGGGTATTTTGAATCTCACCCTCTTTGGGGTTGAATATTCATTCAGTAAATTAAGGAAACCTGTAAACAAGAGCGATTGGGTTACCCATGGAAGACCAGCTATCGTCAATGCTTTTTATTCGTCTATTGAAAACAGTATCCGTAAGTTAATTGATAAAGTTTGATTAGAGAATAAGTATTGGTCTAACTAGGAAGGGGCCAGAGTGGACCTGGCTTTTGCAAAAATATGAATTGACTCCGTTACTTATTCTAAGATTCTAAGGTTCTAAAATAGTAAAATTTTCAAACTTTCAAAATTCTAAGATTCCAAAACCTCTAAATTTCTAAAATCCGAAAATTTCAAAATTGCAAAGCTGAATAAGTCAACGTTTACGGGATATTTTCACAGAATTCCCGGCTGGTATCCTACAAGGTGCTTTCTTCAGTAACGATCGACCGAGGTATATGAATTACGGCGCCATTGGGTTCGTCATTGGCCATGAAATAACGCATGGATTTGATGACCAAGGCAGACAATTCGATAAAGATGGTAACTTGGTCGATTGGTGGGCACCGCAAACAAAGGAAAATTATCTGGAAAGAGCTGAGTGTATTATTCATCAATATGGAAACTACACAGTAGAAGACGTTGGCTTAAACGTAAGAAACTCTTTTTCTTTATGCGTTTTCTTCATAGATTTACGTCAGTCGCTAGAAATATTTGCTCGATAAGCATTCTAATTTTAGTGATATCTAAATACATAGGTTCAGATTTTCTTATTCGCCGTACTTCTTTACATACTTTATCGCTGGTATTTTGCGAATAGTGGTATATGCAAATTATAACACGATAATGGTATCAGGAAGAAGTGACGCAAATTTTCTCTCAAAAGGGTCAAACTCGTGCTTCCAACACATTTTTAAATCGCTAGTTAGATAACTTTAGGAGTAAACATAACAGTTCTAAATATTTTCATAATTAACAGAGTATAATACACGTTTAGGTTCTAAAAATCACAATATAATTTTTCATAATTTTGTTTCTTGCTTGATACATAAACAATATTCCTTAAGAAGATAATCTGTATTGAACACAACATTCGCTATCAAACACATGTTGATAATAATGCTTTTTTTTCAACAAACTTCTTATATACTTTTTTCTATTTAAATTATTAAATTCTTTTTCATTTTATAGAAAGTGTTTAAAAAATAACGATTATTTGGAACAAAATCGAGTTACGAAATTTATTAAAACAAATTTCTTTTTTTTTTTCAATTACAGTTAAATGGCATCAATACACAGGGTGAAAATATAGCCGACAACGGTGGAATAAAGGAAGCCTACTTGGCGTACAGGGAATGGGTTAAACGAAACAAACCAGAACAAAAATTACCAGGAATGTCATTTTCACCTGAACAATTATTCTGGATAAGCGCAGCTAATACCTGGTGCAGCAAGTACAGACCGGAAGCGATGAAGCTTCGCATCACCACCGGATTCCATAGTCCTGGTAAATTCCGTGTTCTGGGACCCCTTTCGAATATGGAGGAATTCTCAAAGGACTTCAATTGCCCTCTCGGTTCCAAGATGAACCCAGAGAAAAAGTGCGCCGTTTGGTAAATGCGGAAATTCCAGCTGTTTGACGTATTGAAACTTGTTCTTCGATACCCCGAAGAAGGACATACACGATGAAAAAAAGATTCTATTGAAAAGAACGATTATATTCAAGAGAAATTCTATGAATAAAGTTTGCTGTATGTATTTCGGAATGATAGTCATGGAATTTATTTGGAAGAATGAACAGTGAAGGTGTATTATTGATAATGGAACTGATGGAATTTAATAGAAAGGTGCACGACCATGAGGAGGATCTCAGTGAGGTATTTAAAAGAGGATCCTCCTTCGTGAATTGACTTGAATTACATGGTACACTTGGGTGCAAGTTAGGTTTCCTTTGGTTAAGGGTAAGTGTAGGTTTCTCCTATTACTTGGGTGATCCTAGGAGAACTTAGATCCGAGGAGAATCTAGAAGAACTTGAGGAAATCTTAGGTAGATCCTAGAAGAGTCTATGGAGATTCTAAGTAGATTTTCGGGAGATTCTAAAGGGATCCTAGGTAGACCCTAGGGAGATGCTAAGGGAATCCTAGAGAGATCCTAGATAAACCCTAGGAAGCTGTTAAGGAAATCCTACGGAGGTTTAGGGCACTCTCTCATCTATACAGTTCCTCTTAACTAAGGAAAGTCTAAATTGCACGCGACCGTACCCGATTAACATTTTTCGCTAATATAAGTCTTTTTTATAAGAGTGAAGCCAAGATTTTCGCTGAGTATTGTAAATAAGAAGCGGCGAAACACAGGAAGGCGCGTCACGATGATTATAAATTTTATACAATTGCGTTTAGAGGTCGATTAGGCCTGCGTGTCGTCGAGTGAAGATGCAGAAAAATGGAACAAGTTAAACTGTGATGATTATGTAGGAAATGACAATAAATATTGAAACGGTCTTTCGATTAAAGCTCCCACGATGACGCGCGTAGAAATGATTTGTTAATTTTATTTTCAAACGACAATCGTATTAATTGATACACAATAATAGTTGACACATGTTTTTTTTTTTGCTATCTGTATAATATTCGTTAGGCTCCGTTGAGCAGCATAAGGTTGTTGATTAGAGTTACCACTTCGAAGTACTTAGGCAATGTAGTATTAATCATAATTTTTAATATACAGGCGACAAAAACATAGCCTATAGTTACTTTTATACCGTTTTATTATTTACATATCATATATAAATATATGTATCGCTTAAGCGTTATCGTTTTGTTCTCCATTACAGTGGCACTTGTACCGCATAAGAATTTAACAGTTAGAATAACGTTACTCATATTTATTGAAGTACCGTATTATTTTAAGTTCGAACAGATAAATGTATTCAGTGTATTTGTTGAGTATAAAATTTTAATATAAAAACATTGAAAAAAAAAAAGATTTCCATCTTGTAAATCTGATAAGATATGTTTAATTGAAAAGTCTAATTTCGCAAAATTAACTACTAAAAATAAGTTGTAAATATGAAAAGTAGTATAGGCAGTCGACTATTATCTACATATCTACCATCTTATGAAGCTTCGGTACCTGTAAGATCACCGAAGTCGAGCTAAGTGGGCACGGTTCACGCCAAAGATGGCTGTTGTTGGCAACCGAGGAAAGGCGGAAAGGGCGAGAATAAGCGATTGAATGAGAATAATGAAATGAAGAAGGTGGCAATGCAATGTAAAAGAAAAAAAAAAGTATTGCGAAATAAATCGACAAAAAGTTCGTTGGGCAAAAGAGAGGGGCTAAAAAAGCCCCTAGAAAGCGCGCCATTCCGGGGAGAAATACCCCGGATAAACCGTTAAAAAATAAAAAAATTTTAGCCGGTCATTTTAGGAACTACATTGAGTAAAACGATGGAGGATAAGTTGGATGCTAAATGCGAAATAAGTAATTAATAAATTTTATTTTTATTAATTTATATATATGTATAGTAAAAAATATGAAATCATTCGCTCATGCTTTCAGCTCGATTTGATCGGCCAACCCCTTCCTGACGTCCAATTGTTCCATCAGGGTATGCATTCATTCGTGCTATTATTACGCACAATGTTTAATAAATTACGAAGTTTGTTGATATAGTCTTCATCGCGTTTCAATTCGTGCTCCAACCTTTCACCTTCGGAAATACGTTGGGCTAAACGTTTAATTGAGGTGGAAAATGATGCTAGGTTTGCAGCCATTATAATTTCAAACCTGGACAGAAGTTTAAACGTTATAAATATGTTATGTTAAAGTGAAATTTTTATATTTTATAAAAGAGGATTAGACACCTCTTACTCCTGGTCAATTCTGTTACTAATGTTCGAATTAGATCCTTTAAGACACTTAGTTTTTCCTTTTGCTCTGCTAATTCTAATAAGAAGCTCTCCTAAATTTTGTAAAAGAATTATTTCAAAATAAAATTAATAAGTCAATGTTTAGCGTGGTTGACCGAGGACTTGCCTGTCTTTTTGTACACGACCTTAACTGTTCAAGAGTTATGGAAGATTGAAGTATTTCAGCGTCTTGTGATAATTTTTCATTTAATGCCACTCCTTCCTTTTTTACTTGTACTACCTCTGCCTGTATTGCAGTCTTTACTTCTCTAATCATCGCGTTCGCCTGTAACAGTACATTAAAGTTAAAATATTGCTCACAGGTGCTCTTGAACGTGAGCACGAATTACAGGGTGATTCTTTCGCAACACAAAAGCCGTACCGCACAATGGAACCCCTGCTGTTCCGTTTCTTGTCTTCGTCTCACACAAAGCAGTTTTGGGTCCGGCGATATGGCCCCTGGGTCTCTTTACCCGCAAAAACAGCAGAGTTCCATTGTGCGGGGCAACTATTGTGTTGTGTTGCGAGAGAATCACCCTGTATTTGGCAAACAACACACTAACTGGACGATGTCGGCAATAAAAATCTTTTTACTATATCATAAGTTTTCTAATAATCCTTAGATATGCTAAAAAAAATTTTTATTATAGCATTAGAAAAAAGCATTCTTGGTGATTATTTTTTTAACTAACCCTTTCATTACACTCTGCACGGTAAGCTGCTAACGTTTCTCTTGCCACCGCCTCTGTTATTACCATTAATTTTTGTACTTTTAATTCCAATTTGTCGCGTTCGTCACTTAAATCAACTATACGAGAATTCAGCTCAGATATATTTTGAGCCAATAAACTCATCTCATTCCTATCATCTTCTACTAACTTTTCCATTTTTATGATCAATTCAGCATAATTGCTGATCAAATGATCAAGAGTTTGAACCTATGGAAAGTAAAATGATTGGTAAGTACATCGAATGATGCGTTAGCGAAAGAAGAAAATTAATTAATCATATCGATATTCACTTACTTTTTGATCGCATTCGCCGGGTACAGGTACTACATCATCTGTAAAAGGTTTTTCTTTTTAAATAAAAGTCAACATTTAAGTTCGCATATATTTTGGGTTTGAAATTTAAAACATTTTATGAATATAATGTTTTTGTTTATTATCATTCTTCTGAACAATATAAGAGAATAAATTAATAACTCATAGACATTATATTTGTTCGTGTACTTAATTATTATTTTTTAGACTTAATAGGTTAAAAAACAGGAATTCCAGAAACAAAGTATCCTGAACTAAAATTAACAGTTAAACACAATAATGCTTACAGAATTGTAATAAAAAAATAAGAGTAATAAATTGTAATTGTAATTGTAATTGAATAATAATTGTAATAGAAAAAATATGAAATATGTATACACTAAAAGAATATGATAAAAACTACACGCGTTTACTTACTTTCCACTTCGTTAAATCTTTGGGTTTCAGCTTTTGAAAACGACATAATAATACAAATCTTAAAACAAATATAATAATTAACACTTTCAGTTTAATCGAAATCTAAAACTCAGTTTATAATGTTCGTTATACTATGTTTCGCTTCGAAATAACTGTCACTGTCGCATCGAAGAAGTCACACTACATTTACCTCGTATCGCGGCAAAAACTTTTCTTTGGTTAGAATATACATATACAGTGGGCCGCAAAAGTATTCGTCTACCGTTTAAAATTGGACCGAATGACTTGAGGTTTCTCGAGAAGCTATACAAATTAATTTACTAAGATATATGCTTATGTCGTTTTAAAAAATTACAATTTGTTGAAATGTGTATGCTGAAAATTTCATCGAGATCGGTCAATGCACTTAGAAGTTACAATTAAAATTTCCGAAAATCGCAACTTTTCATCTAAGAACGTGATTAGTCCCCTCCGTTCACTACGAAAGACATATTTTAAATTTTCATTATAGGCTCAATATAAAAGAGATGAAAAATTATTCTTCATTATTTTCTTTCACGATTTCAACAAATTGTAATTTTTTAAAACGACAAAGGCACATATCTTAGTAAATTAATTTGTATAGCTCCTCGAGAAACCTCAAGTCATTCGGTCCAATATTAAACGAGGTATTCTGTTTTAAACGGTGGACGAATACTTTTGCGGCCCACTGTACATCTTTTGTTTCCTGCGTTTGATTGAAATGTAAACACTATGTGACTTTCAGAATATAACGAATAACAACAAAACTTGTCAGTTTGTATAGAGCCCTTGTGGAATTATCATAAGATTAACATAAAATAATTTTTAACAGAAAATACAACCGACTTCAAAATGCGCTAAAAAGTTTAAAATAATTTATATTTCGTTTATACAACTACGTGAAAAAGACAGCATGGTAAGTATTTTCACGCTCACTATCCCTGTAACTTTTACTCTTCTCTGTGTTGTGTGAAGTGCGATTTTTCACAAAGTCCACCACATCCGTGTTTTTTATTTACTGTGCATCTTCTATTTATTATTTACTGTGCATATTTTTAGGAAAAAATGGATTGTACTGCGGCAGAAAGTGTACAAGTAGAAAAGGAAAGCGAGGAAGCCCAGAATCGTGGGAACAATCACGTAAGTACTACCTTCACACTCACTATCTCTATCACTTTTATTTTTCTATGTGTTGTGTGAAGTACGATTAGGGTTGTTCTTACATGAAAAGTCGCAATTTTCGGAAATTTTAATTACTTACAGTGAGTGTAAAAAGTGTTTAGACAGAATACCTCATTTAAAATATGACCAAATGACTTGAGGTATTTTCAGAAGTTATACAAATTAATCTAAATTAAGATTGTGCTTTTGTCGCTTTAAAAAATTACAATTTGTTGAAGTCGTGAAAGAGAATAGTAAAAGGCAATTTTTTAACTTTTTTATCGGAGTTTGCAATGAAAATTTAAAATATGACATTTGTAAATTTAAGTGTGTTATGTGTATGCTGAAAATTTCATCGAGATTGGTCAATGTACTTAGCAGTTATAAGTAATTAAAATTTCCGAAAATCGCGAGTTTTCATCTAAAAACATAACTAGTCACATTCTTAAATGAAAAGTCGCGATTTTCAGAAATTTTAATTACTTGTAACTTCTAAGTGCATTGATCGATCTCAATGAAATTTTCAGCATACACATAACACACTTAAATTTAGAAAAGTAAAGAGCAGCAAAGGAGGAGAAAAATTCGCAACAACAAAAAACTAAAGAAGCGGTTGAGAACAATGCCGCCAGCCGTCTCAAGATATCCGGGGGGGTATGTATCTCACCCTCCCCCCCAACACACATCGCCGCCGCCCTCGCAACATTACATATCGCCCCCGCCCCCGCAACATTGCTCATCACCACCGCGGCCCGAGATGTACGCAGCTCCAATGCTGTGTATGTCCCAGCCGCCAGTTATATACCACGGCCAGCAACCCATGATATATGTACCGCCGCAACCCCTAATATATGTCCACCCGCAACCGGCAATGTATGTACGGCAACCGACGACGCCGTATCAGTATTATTAAATTAAAAATTTTATTACAATACGTTTCTTTTCTTCTCGACACCTGTTACTGATTATATTATTATTATTATACATACCCTAAACTTAGAACTAGAGTTCGTCATTTATTAAAAAAATAATTTCCAATGAACTAAAGAGGGTTATTAAGTTACCTCCTTTAAAATATTTTACGTCTTAAAAAGTATCTCCGAAAGATTTGTAAAACGAACTTAACTCGAATCACCGAAGAAATAATAATAGCATCGACCAGATAAAATATCATCTCATGTCTCATGATACAGTTCAGCACCGAACCTCGTCGTTGGTAAACTCACTGATTCTGGTTCTGTTTCTTACTGCGGCCGCAATATATTCTAGAGGGCGTAAGAAAACGTCGAACTTTTTCGCAGCCGCGAACTCCCATAAGGATGGCAGCACCGACGAGATACTGTTAAAGACTGCCAACCATTTGTATAGTAAGTAAGCACAACCTGTATATCAGTCCATGGGCAAACACGAGAGCCTAGGACTTTTTTGAAATAAAAAAAAAAAAAGACTGCCAACCGCTGTGTTAAAGTTCGGCACGCCAAGTGGGCCCAGTGGGCCTGGGGTACGATCGGTAAATAGGAATGATGGATAATGTAGAATAGTGATATTACCCATTGTACCGCCGAAAAAAACTGTTATACCACCAACGAGATGATTTAGCTTTGCCACAGTACAATAATTATCTCGTCGGTGATGGCAGTCTTTAACAGTATCTCGTCGGTGATGCAGCTAACGCTTGTCTTTTGCCATGATTCCACGTTAGCAGGCGTTCTCCTTATATCACTAGCTGAACTAAATTTGTCACGTGACTTGCTCTGTATTATCCACAAAATGGCGGAACTGATCTGTGGGACTGCTTTTACGGGACTACACTTTTCGTCCTTATTTCGCAACAAATGAAGACAAAATAGAGCTTAATTTGCAGGTAAGGGTTGTGGCTAGACCGCTGCACTCATGATTTCAATCACAGCACTCTTTTAGTGGCCTAAAAATGCTTCGATTCCGCGACTGCATTTTGTCGATTTTTTCCTTCACTTTGGACGCTTATATTACTAAACATCAACATAATCCCACTAAAACATGAGTGCAGCGGTGTGCATTGGACCTTCCTCTTTCGAATAAGCCTTCACCCAGTCCCAAATGTTCTCATATAAGGACGAAAAGTGTAGTCCCATAAACCCCTGTTTAGGCCCATTTTTGCCGGTAATGTCAACGCGCTACTATTACCCGTGTTAACTCCTTACCACCGACGAGTATCTTGTCGGTGCCTCACGTTTTCTCCTCACGCTTTTATACTAGGATAGTGCAGATGGCGCTCGTTCTCGGAGCCTAATTTCTTGGATACAAGTCACTATCTTTATGCGCTGATACACTGATCAGCTGTTTCATTGTTATTTTATTGAATAAAATTTTGATATTATTTTCTTCATTTTTCAATTATCATTAAATTATACTGGTGAGTAAGTCTATATGATTTTATTTCATTCTTGTTTAATATCAATTAGTGTCAATGCTAATATATGCTATAAGATAACCTTACAATTTGCGTTTAAAGTTTATTTCTAAAAAATGTAATAAATGAGACAAGATTTTTAAGATACATAATTTGTATGTTGATTTCAGCTTTTTAAAATGAATAGTTCATCAGATCCTAGACGACCAGAACGGGAAGTTCGATATAAACCTAATGTAATGAACAGTCAAGTACAACTCGGCGATAATTCTACACCAGATTACATGAATATATTAGGAATGGTGTTCAGTATGTGCGGTTTAATGATGAGATTAAAATGGTGTGCATGGGTTGCATTATATTGTTCTTGCATAAGTTTTGCCAATTCCAAAGTATGCGACGATACTAAACAAATTCTCAGTAGCTTTATGTTATCTATATCTGCAGTTGTAATGTCATATTTACAAAATCCACAACCAATGACTCCACCTTGGGCATCAGCAATGCAATAAAATTATTTGAAATGTCTTTGATGTTATGTGTTTATTAATATTATTATTATTATTATTTATGATAAATGGGTTTAAAAATGAGTAAAGCAGATAAGATTTGAACTCATCTTTTTATTTCTTGGAAAGTATTTTAATACATTAAGTAAATTGTTTTATGTATCACTTTTTCCTAATGATATTCTATAAATATCACTTACAATAATTTCAATATATATTTTCTAAGTATTTATTATAATTTGCTAAACTTAAATAGATCAGATATATTCTTTCTACTTTTTACATAAATACAATAATTCTTTTAATTTCAACTATTAAAAGACTTAATAAAAACCATTTTTCATTGTTCATTCTTTGTTACACAACTGCATCTTTTGATAGTTATCTATTTTACAATTTGTATATATTTTATAATATAAGAAAATAAGAAAAATTTCATGGAAGTTATTAAATAAATATTTAGTGTTAAATAATAAAAACCATACGAATGGTTATAAAAGTTATATACAGATAGAATAAAATAAAATTACTTACAATTATATCTGTTCATTCTGTTAAAAAGCTGTACAAAAACGCGTAAAAATGTTTATATTAAATGATACTGATGTAGAATAGGCCGGCGCAACTTCCATGCAACTTTCACACGTTCTCATCCACATTACAAAAATTAACAATTGAAAACAAGAGATCTAGTCTAAAAACTAATACTCTCTTTAAGTAGCAAGGCATCTTGATTCATGTAAACTGCTATTTTATAACCCATTGCTTTCTTTACTTACTCATTTCATCTGTACTTTTATATATCTTCAATATACATGTAATTAATTTTGTATTTGTCATTGGATTTATTTGTTAGTTGACGGAAAATTTTCTTAATCAGAAAATACTTCGTTCCATCGAAGGAACGACTATACAAATATAAGAAGTGACGTTCTACGAATAAAAATTGAATATCGTTCAATTTAAGTATTTACAGCGAAGAGGCTACGCAGTACATGGCCCCTTAATTTTAGAATATCTCGAATGTTCATCCACCGAAGGGCATAGGAAAATGTTTCTGAACGATCACACGACGGTGTGATATTGGCACAGACACCTATAGATTACTTTAAATCTATTCCCGTCTCTATCATGGTCCCCGGTCGGCCTAACTTCTCCTAATTAAACGCTACTTTCGCCACGACCAACCAGCGTGATCGGATATACATATTTCTTGCGTTTCGCGTTGAAGAAAGGAGAACTGTGCTGCCCATGCGTGGGTGTCGGCGATAACCCACGCAGAAGAGGTAAGGAGGCATCACCGCTCATTCCACTGGCATCGAACTTCTTCTTCCACTCCGCTCCTAGATCGGTTGCCGGTGCCATCAGCCCTTTACACTCCGGGGAACTTCTAACGCTAAGAAACACATCATTGCTGCTGTCACGTTGTCCGGAAGAACCCTGAAACGACCAGTAATTTATTGCTGAACGCAATAAAAGATAAACGATTTTATACCTTCGCCTCGAAGAAATCCAAACTGGACCCATTTGTTTCGTTTTCTTCCTCGGCGAAGCCCGGTTGCACTTGGTTCGATGCGTGAGACGTCCTAGACGAATGAGAAGAAGTATGCGACGAGGAGTTCTCGGACAAATCGTCTCTGCAGCAGGCAGCTGTGCATACTCTTTGCTCTCTAAAATGTTTCACCCAATTTGCATTTATTATTATAATACAGTTTTTGAAGTGAAACTTCTTTAGGCGCGGTAGAGCAAATTCGCCTGGATCAGACGAAAAGTGAAACGCTTCCCCCTCTCCGACTTCAACCGACTCTACACGCATGCGCAGCGCGTACTGTGTGTATACGTAACATTTTCCCTAGCCACGGTAACGTGAGTTGGCCTGATCGAGACGAGAATTGAAACGGTTCTCCGACTCCAATCGACATTTGAGAAGAAAGAGAGGGAGAATCATTTCTACTCTCTCCGTCGCATACATCAGGCCTGTCCAAGTAGGGGAATTCACTCCTGGAACACATGTTTTGGGTCTACTTCCAACGCTGCTCCTTCAAGTAAAATGGGACCGCCGCTAGGAAAGACGGAGAGATGGTAGAGGAGAGATGTAGAAGGAACGGTCCCATCTTACTTTAAGGAGCAGCGTTGGAAGGGTGACCCAAAACATGTGTTCCAGGAGTGGATTCCCCTACTTGGACAGACCTGGCATACATCATAGATTTACAGTCCAAATTATTTGTATCATACTTCAGCTATCATAAATCCATAATTTCTTTTTTAGAGTATTAATTGATGGAAACTGATGAATAAAAGAGATATTTCATTTAATTAAGAGAGATTTCCCTCAATCAAATTCCATTTCCTAATCCCGAAATAATAAAGTCGTCAACAAATGCTAAAATCTAAGAAGTTTCAGTTCTAACGCGCGAGAGTCTCACGCATATTTTTTGTAATGAGTTAAAAATATTTAACTACCTTCTGATAATTACTGAATCTCTTCTTCTCGGTACTGGCGGCGGAAGACCAGCGGTTAAGCTTTTGGCACTCTCATAACTTGCCTCGCTATTACCGCTGCTTGTGTTACTGCCGTTAGTCCCCTCCCTCAGGAAGTAGTTCTTCGCCGAGAGCATAGCGAAGTGAAGATTGTTCTTCAAGTCGTCCGCCGCCGTTGACAAGTTTCCCGAGATCTTTGGAGTACGCCTCATCGGTCTGGGTGGTGGGACCGGTGACGGTGGACTGCTCGACGCCTCCGACAGAGTTTCCGGGGTAGCGAGCGGTGCCATTCGCGACGCGTCGTCCCAATTGCTCCGAAGATTCGATCTTCGCATTGAAACAACGATTAAGATGGCCTCTTGTAACTGACGTGAAAAATTGCAGCTTGAGTAGCAACACTTAATTAAGTCTCCAAAAAAAAAAAAAAGAGATATGACACATTGTTCTTAAAATGAAATAACATGTTCCTCTTAAGCTGCAATCCTTCTTAGGAATTTCTTTTGTTCGATAATACAATCGAGTGCAGTAATGAGTATTTATGTGCGCGATTGCCGAAGCGGTGAATATTGCGATTCGTGGATCAAGCGATCGTGAACGAAAAAGCTTAACATGAGTTTAATGAAATGTTATTTTATCCCTGATGGTTTAATTACCATCCCTAGTTTTATCTATCGTTCCCTAACATAAATCGTAGATAAAGTACCCGGTTGTCTGTTAATTTGCTACGTCTAAGAGTACCGTTCGCCACTCGTCGAACTCTCTCTGTCGCCCTAACTCCTCATTGCAAACTTAATTTACACAGGTATCTTCGTCCTCCATGCGAGTGGTCCAGACGTAAAATTGCTATTCTTACGATTTGCTTTCGTCGGCCCTGGGCGTGTTGAGCAATTCGCTGGCCAGGCTGACGTATTCCCATGGAATCCCTCTGGAGTCGACGCTCAGCTCGCGGCCAACTTGAGGGAACTCCGAGGGACTCTGCAAGGAGGTGAAGCTAGTTTCCAGGCAGAGTCTGTGCGGTGGTGTCCCAGCCAGGTTGCTGGGATGCGATTTAACCGGGCTGGAGGACGACAGCAACGCTCTCATTTCCTGTTCGATCTCCATCTCCTGGATCTCGACGACCTCGCGCGCCTCTGACGCCTCCGTCGACGATGCGTGACCGGAAGCCAGCCTCTGTGGCTTCGCAGGCCCCAGGGTCGTTACAACCTGACATATCCACACGCGATTGTTTCCAATGTAATCGTTTCAATCCTCCGACATGAATACCGCGTAACGCCGTTTCGTTCACATTGAATGAATGGTAGAGTTTGATCGTAATTCGAGAAGCAAAGAATCAGTTTGATTTAATAATGAACATCTATCAAATTAATGAAATTAATGAACTAGACGAATTGAATGTTACTGAATTTGCTTCTTTACTTCTCTATTCCGTGCATACATTAATACGTTCAAAGATTAAGATTTAGGTCTGATCCGTTTGGTTTGTGCTAATGGTTGAGGAGTTTTTGCAAATCTATGATCGCATATCGTTATAAGTATTCTATTATTGATTTATGTAATGTATGAGATAGAATTTACATCAATGTTAACGATATATAAAACACGAATGTCCATTTGAAAATTTCATAGTGGAAGGAGTTTTCACTTTTTCGCATGTAGAACGTGTATTAGAGAATTATCTGAACCGTAGGAAAAAGAAATTTCTTTGAAAAAAAAAGAAAATAGGATAAATTTATTATAAAGTTCGAAGATGATTTTTCGTTCGATGAAGTGAGATTTCTGCAATGAAAGAGAATGATTACAAACTAAGAATGACTGTATTCTTTTAACACGATATTTGGCATGCTGTTATCGCACCATGAAATTAATTAATACTTAACAAATCAAATGTACAATAACGATGTGGTAAACTAAATGATGCGTAGTGCACATGCATGAATGACTCATTGTCAGTGATAAACACCATTCAACTGATTGTTAATTATCTGTTTAAAATCGCTTATCTACCACCAAATAAAAATCTTTCATAGTAACATCATAATTGCATTTTTTCTCTGCATGTCGTACAACTATCCTCTACGTCGACTTACAAACACGTACTTCTATTCATTTTCGGAACACATTGGTGAATGGTGGTGAATCTAGTGTCTAAAAATCGTGATAGTGAATTGCATGCAATAGAATGCAGTTATAGGTTATCTTGCAAATGGACTGCAACGGTGATGATAATTGAGATATTGAACTTGTTAGAATTTTTAAGTCGCTGTAGATTAGTCAATTTGTTTAACTGTTAAATGTAATGTTCACCAGGGCTCGGTATTGTACTTAAATCATTTGTGCAACATTTCTACAGCGACCTTTTTCATGGTGATGAAGCCTAAAAACGTCTATATACCTTGTGCCGTGGCGAGAAGAGTGTGTGGTGGCATAGACATCGGCGTCGTGGTCGTGCAAGCTCGTCGGTGTACTTTGACGGTGGAGTACGACGTGTTGCTGATCGGGTCTCCCTTGGGTTGTTGCATCCGTTGCAATCGTTTCATGCGTTGCTGCATCGGCCTCTCCGGGGTCCCGATCTCTGCACGCAGACACCTAATCCACACACCACACACCCTCAGCCACACATCCTCTCGTGAGAGCCGCCGGTTACCGGTCGCCACGATTCGAGGGAACAACGAGTGCTCGACGTTTTTATTTCTTTCATTGTCAACGAGGGTAAAACACCTAGTCTAACGCTAATTTCATTGACCAATTAATCGTTTACGCTACAGGTTTAGTGGGATACATAATGCATCGGGATGAGCTTTAACACGTTCCGTTCCATAATGAGATTTTATATTTATGGTGAACGTTTGGAATTGCATATAGTATTTAAAAAAAAAAGAACTATTTTTATCGATGGCTCATATGGCACCGAACGTGTTTTGCAAATACGATTTAAAGAAGTGTAATGCAAAGGGTGTCGAGTGTTTATTTAATTCTTCCTTTGGTGGAAGACAATTACTCGTTGAAGCTTTATTTATATGATCTATTCGCTTTACTCAATTTATACGGGGTGTGGTATTTAAAAGTTCGACTGGCTACTTCTTGTGCACGAAGCGACAACAGGTGGACATTCATTAAAAGATGTAAGTACCATTACGCTTACTTCGATTCCTTTGAAACGATAGAAATGCTTACGGTCTTTTCAGGTTTTTATTACTTTCTAAATTAATTTCTCCAAAATATAACTTGTCCAACTTCAACTGATTACTCGAGAACAGCGGACTTTGTTTTGTGAAAAAGGAAATAATTGATGAGTAACCAATTGATTTTAGACAGACCTTATACAATACGTGGGTGTACTTCCGAAAGCGACAACCCTCCGATTTTTCTGAAATTTTTGCCAAAGCTTATCCTTGATTAGAGAAGAATCCCCCAGCCCCCTTCAAAGTTTTGATAGTTCTTACTAAATATCTCCGAAAATATTGATTTTAGAGAAAAAAGTTCTAAAGCTCTACAAAAAAAAATGTACACATTTTTTACGTAAATCTATTATTTTTGATGTACATGTACGTATAATTATTAAGGTTAGGCTACATATTTAAATCCTTTTAGGTAACGCTTTCATTTACACATATTTTTATAATTAATTTATTATTATTTCATGAAGGTGTTGCCGGAAAGTGCGAATTATGTGTTCGGAACAGATCGCCAATGATACTGCGCTGTGTCGGTAAGGTAGGGAATGATATCAACGATAGTGTAGAAATTACTATTTGTTTACATAACAGCCAAAATAATAGGTTTACGTAAAAAAGTGTAAAACCTTTTTTGTAGAGCTTTTTATGAGCTTCATTTTTTGTTTGAAACTTTTTTCTCTAAAATCAATATTTTCGTAGATATTTAGTAAGAACTGTCAAAACTTCGAAGAGAGCTGAGGGGTAAACGAGGCTTTATCGCCAAAAATCCTTTTAGGGACTTTCTTCTCTAATCAAGAATAAGCATTGGCAAAAATTTCAAAAAAATCGGAGGGTTGTCGCTTTCGGAACTTTATCCCAATGCGTAAAATGCGAACAAATTCGACAATTTAACTATCATGCAAAGCGAAAACATACAAATCATTTCTCGTAATCGCACTCGTCGCTGTAATCTTAGCAATGGATACAGGAAAGTGAACTGAAATTAAATAAAATGAAATTTAATAATTCGAGGCGCAAAGCGATTAATAAGCACTAGCAAAATAGAGGTGTAACAACAATAAAGTACAAAACAAAAGTACTAAGTATACGTATATTTAATTTCTTTATGCATGTATTATTTATCATTTTTGTTTCGAGTTAAACAATGAAGGTTTTAGTAATTGTAACAGGTATAAATAATACATGATTTACATTACTTTACTTATCTCCGATATTAACATTTATTTTGAAATGCATCAGGCATAGAATTAAAAAGCGAAATCTAATAAATATATAATTAACAAAACTTTTATCGTATAAAGTAGCGTACATACGGAATCACGTTGTTATAACGTGCAATCAAAACGACCAGCAGAAGATTAATATATTACATTATTTACATAAGGCATGATATGTAAATTTGACATATATTTTACAAATTACATTTTGTTTCCTGTTAAAAACTCTTTAACGATTGCCAAGTTTATCAGTCGTTTTGGATGCAATGAAAACTTCAAAAAACTCAAAAGGAAGATAAAATAACAAAACAAGTATACAAAATTATGCAGTTACAAATATAATCGTTTGCAAACGTTACGATAAACCATGCAGTGTCGAAAGCATGCGTATCAGCTACTTCATCGACTTAAGCAACAAAGAAAAATAAATAAAACCAAGGTGTAATCATCGACACTTTAGCTCTGAATAATCCCACTTTACATTAAACAAATGTCATTAATATTGTCATTAATGACATTAATCTCGAATAAAAACAATATAATATAAAAGAATTAAATAAAACCAGCAATAATAACGCTAATAACAATACAAAAATTAAGATTCTACTCTATTATAAATTCATGTAAATACATTCTTATTTACTATTTATTCTGTTCTTACAAAGATAATATTTTTACCAGCCCAGAACAAATGATAAATACATGTATAATTACATAATTGTTTGAAACATTCGGTTGTGAAAATTTCATTCTTCGCGCCGCGGGGTTGCGCGTGTAACGGTCAGACAGACGGCTCATCAGTGGTAACCAAAATTAGTCATTTCAAATAATATAGCTTTCGCACTGTCAAATATTTTCGACACAACTGAATCATCTTCGACACGACTAGATGAAACACCAAGTCCTTCGAACTTTGTACCCCGAACCCTGTGACCGAACGTATAAAAGCAGGCCACAAACAGAATAAAGGCTCAGATTATTTCTCACTCTCAAACGAAGTTCATCGTGTCATTTATTTCGCCACGAGCAAGTATCTACGGATATTGCACGCTAGGCGTATTATCCATCAATGTTACGTTTTCCTCGTAACACACGGTTAACCAAAAAATATGAATGGTACCATCTAGCGGAGGTGCTCCGGACTGGCTCCTGATAGCTAGAGAACATGAGAGTAGAGGAGGTATCTGGTAGTTCAGTGTGCGACAAGGAGAACACTATATTGTGAGATAAGGATAGATATATGTAACTCCCAGCGAGAACACAAGAACACTATATTAGGAGACAAGGATAGATATATGTAACTCCCACCCTCTAGGACGTTATCCAGGAGTAGGCATATAACGCTCCACCCCTCTCGTAACCCTATTGGTCGAAATTACACACGTCTGTCCTCGTCACGCGACATACTCTCCTTGTCGCACACTGGACTGTCGAATACCTCCTCCACTTTTATGTTCTCTAGCTACCAGGAGTCAGTTCAGAGCACTTTCACTAGATGGTGTTATTCACACGTTCGACTTACCGACAAGATGCAGCAGCGCGAAGAATTGAATTCAACCACCGCAATGTTTGAGAAAAGACTACCACTACAACCACATCAGCTATGGTTTCTTAACCAATCTATATATAACAATGTACAGAGATATTGTACAATAAATTAACTGTAAAACTCTTTCATCAGTCGAACGGTAAAAATCGTTAAAACGAGTGAATATTTAACGAAAAGATTCCGTCATATAAAATATGTCTTGGAACAGTGTCACTGGTTTCATTCTCTCACTGGGTCACGTAATTTTATTAGAATGTTTCTATTGCATTATAAAAATTATATAGAATTATTTTCTCCATTAACTGCAGCCTACACCTTTTTATATGGCTTTGAAATTAATTATGAAATGAGAAGCACCTATACCAATTGTTTTATTCATTTACCGGAGCTTCTATATATCAATCCCTTGTTCCTATTAAATCAACAACTTGCAAAGAAAGTATTTAGTAAACAATTCCGTCAACAGAATCTAAATTACGTGTCCTTCGGTTCGTGTATCTCAACATTAACCACAATCGTGTCGTTACACGTTACCGTGTCACTGGGTGTTGTTTGAGTTTGCGTACTGGTGGTATCGCAATTAATCACCACGTGTCCGTTACTTTCTACACTGGCTACTACGTTTAGAGGCTTGTCCTCTTCCTTCGTGACATCGGGATCGTCGGTCGTTTCCTCCAAGATCTCGTAATTACCCGGCTTTATCGAGGACATTCGGCTAACCGGCGTGTGCAACCTCTTTATCGAATCAGCCTGGCTTACCTTATTCAACGCTTTCAGCATATTGTCCGGCATATGGTCCTGTATCATCACCGGGCTTATCAACACCTCGTCGAAGTCGCAAGGGCCTGCCCACAATGCTTGATACACCGGTTCTTGTTTATGCAACACTCGCCTGAAATCCAATGAAAAAAATGAACTTCAAGAATTCTGGATGAACCTTTGACACGTATCAAATGTTGAACCCTTTCTGCTAATAAGTCGCTACGCGGGCAACATGCAATAAGATGCATTTATCGACTGAAATATTTAAAAACCGGCTTTTTACACCATATCAGAGTACTTCAATTAATACATCACTACGTATCTTAGCTAAGATTTTTACTCATGCATATACAATAGAAAAATTTGAACGGTAGTTCTGAAATAGAACAATCAAACAGTGTGGTAGCTGTATTAGGAGAAGAAAAGTGTAGGACAGAGATCCAAGGTACGCATGCGGGCATATCCCCAAGATGCAGTTACCTAGGGTAGCCCTGAAAATGCAAACTTTTCGATAAACGTACCTCCAGCGTCGCTCATACTTTTGCCTAAAAACGCAGAATATCGTCGATTAAAGTTCGCTTTTTATTTCATCTATGAAGCTTGTTCAAACAACACAAATGAAGTTTAACACGTTGATTGCCACGGTGGAAACATTCATACGCGGTACACGGTGAAGTTCGATAAAAATTTAATTGAATTATATTCGTCGAACCAGCGGTGATTGCCGATGCACTAAACGTGTTAAAACGCATCCGCTGCGGTACAGGACACACAGGTCCCGTATCAGCAAACGTGTTCAAATGAACAAACGGTCAACTTACTCTCCCTTGTTAGGATGATGGCGAACAACGTGTATGATACGACCAGGTGGATACAGAGGCCTGTGCAAAGTCAACGCGATGCTGGAGTCGCTCGGCACAACAGTCTGGGAACGTGCTAGGTCCTTGTCTCTTTGATATTCGCTAATACAACCGCCAGCCTCTAAATTTGCAGCCGAGGTTGGGGTGGAACCGCAACCGCAACACATCACCGAGCACGCTATCGTTTTCCACTGAAACGAATATCACGATTGATGGAGAATTTCTGATAAACCGTTGCGGGGATACTTATCGTTTCTATGTACCATCAGCTGGTAATGCCTTTTGAAAAATTATGAATCTAATTTCAAACAGGAAGAAGAGGAACTTAACGACTATCCCTAATTAAGTTATTAATAAAGTCTTTTCCTTGAAATGTCTCAATTAATATAGCTGTATCTAATGTTGTAGGTTTCTTATAGCTCTCTACAGTAAAATCTGTTTATACCTATACTTGTTCAAAACACTCCACATACGTCTAAGAATTCTCAATTCATTATCTCTGTAGACTTCTTCAAATATGAAAGGATATAAACAGATTTTACTATGTACGGTCGTATACGATAGAAGACATACTTTCGGATCGACGCTCCTTTTTATAGCATTGATAAGATCGGCTCTTAAGCTCTCCATCTGTCTAAGGCCTATCCTAGGTACAACATCCTTCCCGACTACTACGGACGTAATAAATTCCTGCGTGTATTGCTGAGCTGGCATGCTCAAGAGACCGCCCGGTGGAGCGAACGAAAAGCATACCAAGTCTGGATAGTCTTGTTTAAGCAAAATCGCTAGGATAGCCGCTGTGCCAGCTCCCAAGGAATGGCCAACCAGTGTCAAACCGAATTGATGTGTCCCCCTCGATGGATCCTGTAAGATGAATTTGAAATATTTTCAATTTCAACAAATAGAGAAATCATTATTTTATTTGCTAAGAAAATTGCATTTCAGATGTTTTTACTTTTATCAACGTTACAGGGTTTATCGTTTAAACTATGCAACGAGCGCAACGATAAACGTAATTATTCGCTGACGTCTGGGTAAAAGGCATTTGCATTTGAGGTAACGATAACGCGAAATAAATGCGTACCTTGGCAAACGCACGAGAAATAATTTCTTCTTCGAGCAACTTTTTTCGAATATATTCAGCTGCTTGGACCATCCCTTTGTGGCCGAGCCAGTCATCTCTCGGCGGTGACAATGGCAACACTTCACCCTCCGCGTTCAAGTCCGTTAATACGTCCTTCATGCTGAGAGTTCCTCGTATACTAACGACAACCTTTGAAAAGAGCAAACATGAAATTAGTAATTAACTCGTTCTCAAACTCGCAGGAGTTCGGAGTTAAGCAATTGTTCAACCCAGTAATTTGGTGCAAATTTCGCGAAATTATAATTCAGACGGAGATGATGGTTGATTGTATTGAACTTTTTGATACAGTTAAACATACAGGGTGTTCGACAACAGGTGGGAGTTTTTTAAGGGGTGATTCTAGGGATCAAAATAGGACGAAAATTAAGAATGACGAAATAGCGTTTACAGCTTTGTTTTCCAGTACGTTTAAAAATTCGAGTAAAAGGCGCCTAAAACCTGCGGTCTGCCCAGTACCGACGACTGAACGTCAGGTCAGCAGGAGTGGGTACAGTCATAACCAAGAATTATTGAATAGTAGAAACTTATCTCGTGCTATTCTGTTTCTCGGTACTGCAGCATTCGGCTTTCTCTTCTTGGTTATGACTGTAACCGGTCCTGCTAACCTGACGTTCAGTCGTTGTTGCTGGGCGGATTGCAGGTTTCAGGCGCTTTTTACTCGAATTTTTAAACGTTAATTACTGGAGAACAAAGCCGCAAACGCTATTTCGTCATTCTTGATTTTCGTCTTATTCTGATCCCTAGATTCACCCCTTAAAAAATCTCCCACCTGTTGTCGAACACCCTGTATAATATGTATGACAACGTTAAAATGAAATTTTCTATCATTTTTCATGTGAAATATTTAATCAACCGTGAGAGGGGCAAATATTTAAACAAATATTGAAAACGTTCTCTCGAAAGACTTCCTCTAATATTAAAAAAAAAATCAATTAATCCACGTTGTTCGTAATTAAATTTCAAATTATTTTTGACGGATTCGCCGTACAGAACAGTGGCACACTTAATCGCTAAAAAGTTCATCAAAATATTCACATACTCATTAAGCTTTTGAGATTTCATTGAATTAATACCACCGTTCGTGGACGAAATCGTCGTTTAAAAGGATCTGTACGTAAGGTGCTCCCGACTCGTAATTCTACTCTAATCAATCGGCATTTATAGAATTAATCCGATCGGTGCATGCGAATCAATGAGGAACGCGCGAAACCTTTTTCTTCGTGTAATCGAGCGCGACGAAGAACGGCGTCTCACCGACGTCGACGTGGAAGGTCGCGTAAATGACTTCCACCTCGGCGAGCTCGACCATCTTCTTCAACGCCGCATAATTGCACTTGCAACAATTGTCCTCCACAATGGTCGCCTCATTTTGGTGACCGCCGCAAGGGAAACAACCGCATCGTAATCTACGACAGGATTTCATTGCACTGTTATTTCTCAGTATTTCAGTATTTCGTGCCGTGTTACAAATTAACAACGTGTTTACTGACGCATTTCTCGGACTTTTTATAACATTTATTTTCTTGCAAAATTATTAATTTTATGATCTTTTATACAGGGTGTTAAAAAATACCCTGAAGACCTCTACACCGCTGGTTAGATCACGAAAAATCGAAGTGAAAAGTTCTGTAACATTTTTCAAGGTATTTTTTAACATCCTGTATAAATTTAATATCCAAAGGTCATGCACTCTTCTGGTTAGATTATAAAAATTTTATCGTTTATAAGAAATTATCACTGAAATAAGTGGTGTGATAAAAAAAAATCAATCCAGGGTACCTGATCGTATACAATAAAAAAACAAAACGAGTATAGCAGCTCCAATTACGATAAAAATATCAGATTCAATTAAAAGCTGTTCAATTAAATCATTTCACAGGATGATGATCACATCGTTGAAAATCAATTAATCGGTAACGCCGATACCGCAACGACATAAGCACCACGCAATCCTGACGACATTACCTTGTACACAACTGACAAAGGCCGGTCGAATGACTAACGAGGAACATGGGCCAACCATAAGCAGCTAGGGCGAAGTGCATGTAATGTATGGCCAACTGAAAGTGACCTAGATCACCGTCCTCGGTCAAGGACAAGAATTTGGTGCGAGGAGTAACTGGCACCCCTGATAGAAACTCGTACGTATCGTTTTTCCTTTGCTTCACTATCAGTTCCCTCTCGACTTTCTGGAACTTCCTCAATAATACCAGACCGGCGACCACGTCCGATGGAACCACGTCAAGGTCGCGAAAGAAATCGCTCAGTAGCCTGGCAATGTCCGTGAACGAATTCTAGGAAAAGAATTGTTTTTATTGGAAACGTCAGCTGCTTCTGTCGAATCGGTGTAAAAGGATCGTTCGGCTCGAAATGAAATTATACGCTTCTGAAATGGATTTCATTTGTATCGGATCGTTTCAAAAGTTTTTTGCGTACTTTCTTCATTTTCGTTCGCGATATCCAGTCGATAATTTTAATCTTAAAATGAACAATTTTTTTCATGATTAAAATAATGCCTACAAAGATCTCTGAAATAACCTGACAAAAATAAATGGCAGTATAGGTTTCTATTTTCCTTGTATCAAATTTTGTAGTGTTAAAGCTCTTAAGCTTCAGAATGATATTTTCGATGAAAACTTATAATTGAAAGAAAACTTTGAGCAGCTGTGTTCATTCTTCTGATCGATCTCGTTAAGTCCCTGCCAAGTTTAATGCTTTCGTTGCGGAATTAGACTTAAATAAGATCGGTTTAATTAATAGAAATTACATAAGCGATAGAGACGGATGTAAATAAAGGAAAAGCAATTTTGAAGCTATAACGCTGTTGATTTATCTTATTTTAAACACTTACTCGACTTCTGTCGGAATTGCCCATGCAGCAGAATAAAAGCCTGCACCTGTTGTCCCAACTATCCTGATATGCACGTATTACCTTTCTATAAAAGTGGAATTTTAACCATTTTAATGAGAAAAAGTTACTTGCATTATAAATATAATTCATTGTCGCATAGAAAATTTAATTTACTAAATAATAGGATGTAATTTTAAAAATTATGTAATAGATAGGATTTATCTTAAATTGGAAATTTCTTAATAAAACTGATATAATAAGAAGCTCTTGTAACAAAAGTGCGATGCAAACAGTGCCTTGAAAATAGTAAAAGGCTCACAGTGGAAGTTGATGGTAATAAGTCGGACGGTGCAACCAAAGCGAGAATCACAAGCAGTTACCTTTGACGCCAATTTCTGTTTCTGCTTCCGCTCCGATTGTAATGCAATTTACCGCATCTTGATTCCGCCTCCCTCATACTGCGTTGGTATTTCTTCATTTTGACCCAGGATCTACCTGCGGCATCGTACGTGCACCACACTGTTACAATCACCGATGCCAGTACACACCAATTCGATATCACTAAACCTGTGAATTAAATAAACTTCAAATCTAACCATTTTTATTGGAAAAATGAAACGTTTCATTGCAGATGAAACAGCTATTTTCCTGATATAAAAATTTCTTCAGGATAAAATTGAACTAAAATGAAATTTTCATAGCGGAGAATGTATAAAATTCACTTAGTACAGAGTTCCTGGTGTTCAAGTTTAATTTAGTTAACGTGGAAATTTCTTATCATGAATTTTCTTATTTACGTAAAGTTTGCTTTCTCCGGAAAGTTACTCAGGTAGAGTTTCTCGTTCGTTGAAAATTTACCAGGTAAAATTGAAACAGTTCAAGTTTGATACTATGGATTTCAAGGAATACGAGATCTCAAGTTTTCTGTAAGAAATACTTACCTAACGTTACATCGTTCATTCGATCGACGGGGCAGGTTTGGTAGTAACGTACCAACCATGTTACACCCGCGCACAACCATCCAGTCTCTATCAGCATTAGAACTGAAATAAATACAATTGCCTTTTGTTGAGAAAATATTTTCCATTTTACTCATCGATGTGACTGAAGAAAATAACGAAGGTGTGTATAGATCACAGAAAATCGAAGGTTTCTTAAAGCAAACGTCTATTTTCCGATCACAAATGGTTGCCATTTATTGTTGAAAGGAAAATACGTCAGCGCGAATGTCGTAACTTCATACCGGAAAAGAATCGAAGGTATTGACAGTGCTTTCTTCAAGCATCGAGTCGATAGCGTTTCTCTACAAAGGAACGCCCACAATGCAGTTTTTTTCTTTTTTTTTTTTTCATGATTTTTACCTCACAACGAATACATCCGACCTAATTAGCCGACACGACTGTGCAGATAACACATAATTATTTCCTATGCGATGAGCAAACTTTCGATTCAATTTCCACTCCAATTCGCGGCTGCATTCAAGGAACGTTTCTATTCCGTGGCTTCCGGTCGGGACCGAAAATTCACTGCGCGATAATCGAGATTCTTTCAACAATTTTCACGGTTGCTTTCGGGAAACATTCTGGTCGGAAGCTGGAAGACGTGCCTGTCGAAATCAGGCCGGTGAAATTGAAGAAAGAAAAATACAAGCCGCAACTACGGTGGCCCGACACTCGCCACGCATCCGACCAATCAGCTGTACGTGATCGAAATTTCTATCAAGTTCTTTCTCGGTGCAATGGAACGCTCGATGAACACCAGACTCCAGTTGGAATCGGTCCAAAACCGTTAAATACGCGCCGCTGCATGTGTCTTGTTGGAGAACAGACAGGATTCAAATAATTCTTTGTACATATACAGGGTGTCCCAGACAAACAGTTACAGAGCTCTTATTCGGTAGTTAATGTTTTGGTCGAAGTGAAAAATCTTTTGCATTATTAATGCCTTTAATAAAAGTTCAAGAGATATGATGTTCAAGTTTTGTTTTTTAAATGGAACCATATATTTTTTTTCAGATCATGTAATAGTGATTCTCAAGACGAATTTATTAAGCTTTAATGTGTACACTTGATTTTAATTAGTTTTCAAGATATAACGTTTACAAATTTCCCGATTTTCAGTAGATACGTCTCGGTTGAGTGGCAAGTCGTAAAAGCGGCCCTATTGTTGCGGTTTCTTATTCTTTGGGTCTGCCGTTCCTAGCGTAGACCCCCGCTATGGCACTTACCGCAATAATAGGGCAGCTTTTACGACTTGCCACTCAAACCAAGATATATCTACTGAAAATTGGGAAATTTGTAAATGTTATATCTTGAAAACTAATTAAAATCGAGTGTATACATTTATAGGTTTTCTTAATTCTACGTGCCTAAACTAATTGTAAACGGTAATTATAAAATGAATAAAATGGATTCGTCGCAGATTCGTCGCAGGGCACGTCTATTCTCCTTACGTCGTCGTCGTCGACTGGCTGTCGATTTTTTATGATCAGTCGCGTCGCGGACCCCCTGCGACCCCCCTGCCATCAGCAGTAAAATCCAGAATATTCTGGAATACATCTTTTATTTCCTACACATTAAAGCTTAATGAATTCGTCATGAGAAGCACTATTACATGATCTGAAAAAAAATATCTGGTTCCATATAAAAAACAAAACTATCATATCTCAACAAAACATCATATCTCTTAAACTAATAATATAAATAAATTTTCATTCACGCCAAAACATGGGCCCCCTTGTACCGTGCAATTTCCATATGAACAATTTTTCCTATCATCAATAGTTACGAAATAAAACGTCTGTCACACTTTAGCGCGGACACACAGTATATAAATCGACGTGCAACGTGCTGACCCATCGAGGATAATTTAACATGCGCGTGTACTAGATGAAACGGAGCGACGAGGAAATTAACGAGGGTGTTTCAGTCGATTCAATTCTCTTACCTTTGAAATTTCGTGACAAAAGGTTTCCATTGCAAATAGTCCACTTTGGGAATAAACAGCTGGTTTGTTTTCGTATGTGCTTGAATTTTTTGGTACTTCTAAGGTTTTTCCTTGGTACTTATCTTTTATTCAACGTGCAGACTTTCTTTTATTAAAGGAAACAAGAATCGTGAGTTTAGCTGAATTAGGGACACGAGCAAGGTCCGTATATTCTTCTTGTAATAAATTTTTACTGATGATATTTTGGGATCTTCATGGAAGAAATTAGAATTTTCAATGTACCCGTTGGGATAAGCAGAGTAATCGAACATTCGAAGTTCGAAATGCTTCGATTTGCAAATTTTCCTACTTTGAAAATTTATCCCAAGTTTGAAAAAATTTCGGAAAATTTGGAAAATTCTAAGGATAAAAGTCGTAAAATTTCTATTTAGATAAGAAAGACGCGTATTAGCATAATGGACGATTAAAGAGTCACCGAAGAAAAGAAGCATGCCACAAAAAAGGAAAAGAGGAAAGTAAGAACTACGCGATTCTTTATTTTCTGATGGCTAAGAAGACAGAAAATTTCACGCCAGTCTTCGTGCAACCAAAGAGAAGACCAAAAGGCAGAAGACGAAAAGTTAAGACGTTCTTTTATACTACTCGAGAGACTTTCTTAGAAACAAAGCAATATAACGGATGAAAAAAATGGACGAATTTCTTTGTCTGAAAATAACATCTGTTTTATAAGATGGATCGTTAAAGACGTTAAAAATGACAAGTTAATGCTTCAAATTTGCTATTTTAAACTAATAGTGTGATTTTAGTGGAATTTAAGAAAAAATTCACGAACAAAATTCTGTTCCATCGTGGGTGATCCTCCATTACGATCGAGGATTTGCGATTAAATCCTGCCTCTTATTAATATTCTCCCCTCGTTCTGGGAAGATTGGACGAGCCGATAAGGGAGAAGTGGCTTTCCGTTGCCATAGATGAAGCTTCCGTTAACGAACCCCATAGTGAACCTTTAAATTGGTCACGATTCCGCTGACAGATCCATCATGGACCATAGTAAATGCATCGTTACCGATTTTAATATTCGATTGACAACGCGATGATTAATGCGTTGTTCACAACAGATTCGTTAGGAAGCTACGGTAGATATTCTAACAAGGTGGACGCGTTAAACCATACCCTCGTCATTGTTCCATAGATGGTAATTTTCGATATCGAACGGTGTATCTAGGAAATTTCCAACATTTAATACCGCAACTCGGTGGTTTTCGGTTCCCTGTCATACGAGCTAATGGTTCTCCGTTATGGATATCAGAATTCGATGGGTTTCAATTTCAAATACACTGTTGATCGCAATTTCGAATAGCGCGATTCCATGAATTTCGAACACATTGATCAGATAATTTTCACTTGACCAGATATTAGATTCGATAAATTGTTATTTCATTAACAAAATTATCAAATATTTTATTCATATTTTACCTTCTACGTGCAATTGCAAATTTGTTAAAAAAGAAAAATGTGTTATATTCGCTTACAAAGTCGAACGTAGAGAATGTATTGCATAGGCGCCCTCGCCGCAGTGTCCAAGATGCTTCCCCGTGTAGCCAGGAAGCAGATGGAAAATTCCACCATCATGGAGATCACGAAAATGGCCAAGTATCCCACGATATATTCCCAGAGTAGGAGGATGCACGTAACACTGCGATCCCATTCGAGAATCCCCAGCAGAACGCACAGCACTGTCACCCTATAACAGAAACGATAAGAACTTTCATGAAAAGGACTTGCCTCTATAGCAGCAACATCACGAATATCCCGTTAGTTATCGAACTGTGACCAAAATACATTTTAATTGACAATTTTTATCGCATCTGTAGGCGTTTAGTGGAGGGGGAAAGAGGATTTCGTCTGCCCGGACGCCTTTAGTTCGGGCCGGGGACCGCTAGGTGGCGGCGAAATGATTGGTGACAATGTTCTCGCAGGCAGTCGCCCGGCATGCAGTTCGAATATACAGGGTGATCCTCCCGCTGCCGGACACAAAGGAACACTGGCGACAATGAACCCCTTGACTGCACCATGAAGAGGTCCGCATTGTCACGTACAGTGCACCGTTCAGATGTTGCAGAGGCTAAGGAATGCGGGTACGATTGGTCAGAGGTTTCTAGTCACGCCTAATGCACACGCATTCTAGACCGTCGCGCGTTATTGGTCGAAACGCTCACACATACTAAGCCCGCCGCTTGCACACCGCAAAGTCAAGTGGTGTGGGTGCGTAACGACGTTGGGATTAGGCGGGACAGACCGAGGAATCACTCCTTAGCCTCCGCAACATCTCATCGGTGCACTGTACTAGCGGGGACCTACCCGGGCCGAGACGACTCTTTATGTCTTCATGGTGCGGTCAAGGGGTTTATTGTCGCCAGTTCCTTTGTGCCCGGCTGCGAGAGAATCACCCTGTATAGAAGTTCCGAATTGCGGTATGATAGGTGTCTGAGGCCGAGAGGACCACAAAGGTGCCGTTCTGGGCCTTGCAGCCAGCTCCAGCGGTGTCATGTACCAACCCCTCCTCCTCGTGGTGTGGTCCGGGCACCGGTTATTCCGATGGCAAACGAGGCTCTGGGGGCGTGAAGCACCTTGTGGATGTAGTTACTAACCCACTCAGGTTAGTTTGTTAAAGTAGAAGCGTCCTAGACCAAAATTCCTTAGACGCCGACAAAGAGTCAAGTGTTGGGTTTTTTCGCACCCGTGCAATGATTGGTCAACCCAAGAGCGAATTTGTTCAACCCCGCGCCACTTGGTTGGATGATGGCTGCAGGAGGTGGACTTTTAGCGCAATTGCGCCATTTAAAATCGCCGGTATAAGTGCAAACTTCGGAACGGTAGAGCGAGCTTTTAGCCCCACTAGGCTCACTTACACAATGATCTGTCCAGGGCAGGAATCGTCTGTTGTCAGCCCCACTGAACGAGTCTGACAAACGATCTCGAGACGAAACGCCTTTTTCTCCCCTCTCCTACACATCCTTATTCAAATTTCCAAATTTACTTTCATAGATGCCTGTCTGGTGCCATTATTAAGTACCATTTTAAAACTTATCGATAATAGAAGATTAAAGTAATTTTCAAATAATTATATTAACATGAATTGAAGCGTACTCATCGTCAGTTTAAATATTTGAAAGGCTGATGCGGCATTCATAATTCAAAGAAGGGTTAATCATATCGATATGGTATAGTGTTTAGAGAGTAAAACGAGAACAGCATATTGCGAGCACCGGCTATGTTTATAGTTCGTTTTGAAGGTTCCTTGTAGTTCTAAAACCCACCTGACATTTACTAACCCTCTCTAAATTCATTTCATCCGCATCGTATTTTATCGTTGACTTACAGTCCAATATTTATAGTGCACTCGCCCGAACGAGCTGCACATTTTAATAAAATCCCAACTGAAAGGGGAAACATCAAACGGTCCATTTTACTTTCGAAATTGTACAGCCTGTAGTACAACACTTAGCATCTTTTTCCATCCCAAAAATTAACAGGGTGTGAATAAATACGCGGGTCGCTTTATACGAACTAAAGCGTCCTTTAGATCTCTTTTTTTATCAAGCACAAAGGAATAAAAGTTAATTCAACACATTTCGGCTACTCTGGTAATCTCCGAGTGACGTCAACGCTTTTTTCTCGTCGGAAAGCACGCTTTTAGAAGATTAAATTGACGCTGGTCAGAATATTTCTTAACAGTTAAAGGAACCAAGGAGTACTTTAGGAAGTAATTGTGTATTGGATCTAAAACTCGATGAAACTTCTCGGTACTTTTCTCGCGTAAAGCCGTCGTTTCGAAAGGGGGAAGGCAAGTTTCCTCGTACCGGAAGGCAGAGAATTTTGCAGCCATACAAAATGAGTTTTGGAGCCTCGTTAATGTCGGCCCCAATCGCAAAGTTCGCGTAATTCCCTTCAATCACTCGTTCCAGTGCAACGATTCGTAACGAATCGCGATTGGAATAATTATCGGAAATTATTTCTTACCCTGCTGTGAAACAGCGTAATTGCGTGACTATTTGGCTGGTGAATCAAGTACTTACGCTTTCGATTGGTACGTTAAAAGATCAATGAAAGTTGCAAATGATCGGCGATTTAAGTTAAATGAAAAATGTTTGTGAAGAAAAATTGAAAACAAAATTTTTGCTTAAAAATATAATATATTCTTTTTTAACTAGTTAAGGTGGACTCTAAATGATTTTTTTAATTTTTTAATTATCGCAAGCCTATTTTGAATCCTCATTTAAAATCCCTTGTCTCGTGAAAAAGGTCGTTCATTTCACGAAATCTCTTCAGCACGGCAACGAGGAACGAGATAAAACGTGCCAAGCAGCTATGAATGAGAGTTACACAGTTGTAGTTTAATAATGCAACGTGTGCATCGTGTTCTGCAGATAGAGGTCCCAAGAGATATGACCGATCGTCATGCTTCACCGTCTGTTAGCCACTTCAGAACACGAGCTCGACAATCTTGTAGCACGGTACACGGCGACCAAAGCAGAAAATGAACGTGTTACAATTTCAAACGAGAGTGAACTCATTTTGCACTGATGATTCACTGATACCACGTTACTATTTATTTTCTTATTAAATACTCTGATTACATATTTTATCATTCTAGAAATGAGATCTTTTTTTCCATAGACGACTTTAAATTACAAGCAACGTGTAATAATTTAGTTAACGCTTTGATCGCCACAGTAGAAAGAGTCTACGTATAGTCGGACACATTATAATTGCAGCAATTTTGCCAAATTAAGCTTCTAATTTTCTACTTTGAATGAATAAAATAATTATAATGCCATATAAAAATTAAAACAATTCTAAAAAATGATTTCTTCAAACAGGATTATTCCCTTAATTAACAAGTAAATAGCAACAGGATCAATGTTAGAAACGATTTCCAAGAAGAATCTCTAATTAACACGTTCACAAAAGGTCCAAGAAGAACCCTGCTCCTCAAGATAAACCGTTGTTCCACGAACAAACGTGAAACTTTCGTTCAAATATGAACTTCATTTCGGGTAGGCGCGTTCCAAATCTGCCAATTAGTGCCAACGAGTTACCGGCTCAATTAAATCCTCGCTAGAGACCTTCCTAACAAGAGGAACGTTTGTCAAGCGGAATGTCATTGCTTTCTCGTAGAACAAACTTTTTCATTCTTCCACGCTTTCGATTTTCCTATCGATCCAGAAAATCGCTCGGCAATCCCTGAAGGCCAAGCGTAGCCGAAAAAGAGCAAGGGTCATTGTGCAGAAGATAAGGGACGGTGGTAACAAGCAGGGCGAAGAAATAACGCGAAAAAGGAAGGGGAACAGAGAGAGAGAGAGAGAGAACAAGGCGGTTGTATGCGCGGTTAGGGGAGATTTAGAGGGGCTGTAGTAGTACTTGCAGGGTTGATAAGTAGCGTTGGGATCAAGAGACTCGCACAACTTTTATTTCCCATACAAGAATTCGTAATCGTACCACGCGTTTCTATTCCACGTACGGATCTTCACTGGCACACACGTTTTACCATGGCAGTTTCAAGAAAAAAGAGTTTCTCCCTAATTTTTTTTTAAGTTCCATGCAATAAAACTACGATGTGTACATTGTAAATTTTTAAGCAAACATCTAGGTTAACCGATGATTTCAATTATATACCCATCTACTTATGGTTCTCAATCACAAGGGGTTGAATATCATTAAGATTTCTCCGAAATGGGGTCAGACACCAGAAAAGTTATGATAGAAAGTTCCCGAAGCTTTTATCACGCCTTTGCGGTTCAAGCATCGTGTTTCACCGTACCAGAAAATTCGACGCTTGAACTTTGACCGGGAAGGCTTTCGCGGTGGATGACGTAAAGTAGATTGAACTGTCTGCAGTGTCCATCACAATGGGTGCAGTCAGTCCAGCAAAGGGAGTGCGGGACAGAGAGATGGTGAGCTTTCAAATGATTTGATCAACCGGAAGTGTCACTTGCGCATCGGGTTAACGATTTTTGACCCGCCTTTGCGAGCACGAACGAGCATTAGAGGAAGAAAAAAAAAGAAAAAGAAAAAGCCCCATCGAACGGGAATTCGTTTTCACTCTGGTCTTGTATTTGCGAAACCGCACGATCGCGTGAAAAACACCTGCTCCCAGCCATTACTCAAGCGAACTTTTTGCCGTGTTCCAAAAGCAACAAGAGCGATGCGGGATTGTTTTGCGGTCACAGACAGCGTTTGTCTGATGGAATTTCACGTTACGCCAACTGATAGAGAGAGCAAACCGCACAACTGTCGTGATACACTTTATAAAATGAGCGATACTCCATTTCAATGTCGTGCCACCGCTACTACCCTGCTGTTGAAATCTATGAAGACACCGCGAGAAATAGATGGCACTGAATACGAAGAGATTTCAATCTAACACGGTAAATCGTGGTGAACTTTCAAGCGAGCAGTATTCTATTTTCACCGTTCGAAAGTAGACTCGCAGAACGATAGATTAGAAGATAGGTGATGTAACGTTAAGAAATTTACGACCTGCCGTTCACAGATTTTTCAAAGCTCGGGAAATCGATAGAAAAGGGTGTGCTACCCAGTGGATGACTATAAAACCAACATTGGCTGGAATCAACATCATCCTACCATTGTGTTATTAGCTTTTAGCATCGCCTATCAGTGCTTATCGCCTATCACAATTAAACGCAACCTGATCAGTGGCGCGTTATAACTACTTGGGGC